CTTCATGCATACCGCATATTAAAAACCATCATATCTGTGTTTATACTTACAGGCACCACTGCACATTAGCAAACTGGTGAGGTAAAAGATACCAATTGAAACTACCCACACAGGGGAATGTTTTCTTAAAAGGAAATGTGTTTAAATGTTCCCACGGATTGTCGAACACCTCACTAATGATGTCTCAGTGACAAAGGCATTCCAGCTGCTCACAAGCATTCACTTCTATGTCATCACAGTAAGTTCTCTGTGGGCACCCAGAGATGTATAGGTATCTCTTTTATCACTACCTGAGCTTCTTTTGTTTTTATTTTTTGAGATAAGGTTTCTCTGTATAACCCTGGATGTCCTGGAACTAGCTCTGTAGAACAGCTGGCCTTGAGCTCAGAGATCCACCTACTTTTACCTCCTGAGTTGCTGGGGTTAGAGGTATGAGCTATCACAGACTGGCTTTTTTGTTTTTTACTCACTACCTGAAATTTTATAGCTCATATCCTCGTGATTGCTTAATTTCATATGAGACTTTCACCACCCATTTACATGGCACTTTACACAAGGAATAGCAGGAATGAATGGGAGGCTACAGGATTGTTTGCTTCAGTGTTTTCTATAGTGTAAAGATCGGATTTCCACTAATCAGATTTACTTAGAAATTCTAACCACGGAGAATTTGTGAAGATGAAGATATTTTTGGAGTGAGCCAATGGTAGGCTCTTGGAGTTTCAGAACTGAATAAAAGGCATAAGCCCTTTATCCTAATGGCATGTGGAGAGCCATTTAAACGGATCAGAAGCCAGCCACAGTTAGCCGAGTGCTGAGAGAGTGAGTGGATGTGGGTGGGAAATGGAGGCAGGAGCAGGACCTGAGATGAGGCTGGAGGATCATCGATTCCTGTGTTCTGCTCCTTTTCTGGAAGAAAAAGAGTTTCCACTTATCACTGAGGAATGATGGCAATAACTGATTGACATGAGGAGTTGTTCCTTTATCCGGTACTGATTTAGTGAACAAACAGTTTGGACTCTGTTGCTGGTCTCACACATGATTTCATCCTGGGCAGTCAAAGTAATACCATTTCCTAGACATCACATTGTTGTTGTTGTTGTTGTTGTTGTTGTTTTTTCGAGACAGGGTTTCTCTGTGTAGCCCTGGCTGTCCTGGAACTCACTCTTTAGACCAGGCTGGCCTGGAACTCAGAAATACGCCTGCCTCTGCCTCCCAAGTGCCGGGATTAAAGTCGTGCACCACCACCGCCCGGCAACATCACATTTTTTTTAATAACTAAAGAAATGTCTTATGGGTTTTGTGTAAGGGATAATCTGATTGTATCTTGATTTAGACTAGTATTTACACTAGAAATCTCCTAAAATCTCAGTCCCAGGCTTGCATGTCAGAGGACTGAAGGAAAGTGGAACATGATTGAATTAACATGGAGAAAAAAGTCCCTGCTGATTTATTTTTAAAGCTAATAAGTTGGAATAAAGAGACAAGGTGGTCCAAATATTTATAATACTGTCAACATTCTTTTTGTGAAACCATGGCTGGATTTCCTCCCATGTTTCCCTTGAAATGAGGACTTTCTTCTGGACATTATTGCTACTAATACATGATAATGGTCTCAGGGCTTCAGACTTCCTGTCCCAGCTCTACTACGCCCTCACCTCAGACCCTGAGTCTTTTGGATGTAACAGTAATGATACATGAGGCTGAACTTGACTTCATTTTAGGATTTTAGGGTACTGGGCATTTTTTCCATTTTGAGAGTTTTATTTCCTGAATTTGGGTGGTCCTAGACTGACATCCTAGAAGGAAGAAACAATTCTACCCTGTTCATAACCTGGGACGATGACTGCTGATTCTAGATTCTAGATTTCCCAAGTCCCAGCTTCCTCTACTGCCAGACAGCTGCAGAGGTGGCTGCGGTGCCAGCAGCTGTGGCCGTGTATGCTTCTCCTTGCTGTCTAGAGGTCTGACTCACTTTCAGGAACACAGAGAACAGTTCTTGCTATTCTGAATAAAAATTTGGAGGAAAAAGATGGGTTGCTGCTATGTTTGAGAATATGAGAAAAATAGTTAGGTAGAATATCTGGGCAAGTATTTTACATGAATAACTTTTGTTTTATTATTGATACTATTCTGGTAGATTGAGTTAAATAAATATGTAATTAAAATAAATTTTGTTGGTTTCATTTTTAGCATGCATGGCCTCAAGAAACATTCCATATGTATCTCATGTCTGTGGTGTGCATTGACTGTATGTTGCTGGTGCTAAAGAAATCAAGTGCCTGACTGCATCTGTGAGCCTCACCCTCCTTCCTGTGCAAAGGATTCTTACTCAAGCGGGAGATCTGCACTGGCCACGTTTAGTGTGGCTCAAGTAGGGTCAAAGGACTTGGGAGGGAATCCCTCTTGGGGCATATGTTTGGAAATAACAGAATGTGTGAAAGTTAGCTTTGAGTTTTGAACTGTCACATCATCCCTGCAGTAATGTATCAGAATAGCTCAGTAGTCCATAACGCTTAACATGGTATGGGATGGAAAGATAACATAGTATCAAAGTAAAAGTTGTCAAAGGGCACAGTTGATTTTCTTAGGAGAGATACCGTGATGCTTCAGTTTGATGCTGCACCTCCTGGATTATCTGTAGTTGTGTAGCTGTGATGTCATGGTGCTCTCCAAGGCAAGCCAGGGTATCGGCCTTCTACTATACTCATATTGGGATTCTCTCTGCTCATAAGGAATCTCTGTCATGGGCTTTGCAGAAGCAAACCTAGAGCAGCACAGCTTGCTGATAGTGTCGATTCTAAGGGATGGTTTGGTGTAGAATCCATTTAAAACTTTCTCTGTGTGCCCCTCCCCCTACCATCCACAAAAAGAAACTGAACAAGAACAGCACTTCAAAGCAAGCTCGACTTCCTTATCCTTTCTAAGAGAATTTTGGTGCAAAGTCCTTTCTTTTGGCAATTCTGGGGCCATCTCTGGTCTGATATTAAAAAGAGGAGGATACCAAGAAAACCCACAAAATGAACAATCTGGGTTCTCTGGGGCTCACAGCCACTGAATGGACAACCAGGAGCTGGCATGGAACTGACTTAGGTCCTTTGCATATAAGTTACTCTCCTGTAGTTTGGTTTTCTTGTGGGACTCCTAACAGTGGGAGCAGGGGCTGACTCTCTCCTCCCAGGTTGCCTCATCTGGACTTAAGACAAGGGGAGGTGCCTATTCTTACTGCAACTTGATATGTATGCTGTGTTGTTGATATCCATGGGGGAGGCCTGCCCTTTTCTGAAGAAAAACAGAGGAGGAAGGTTGAGAGGGGGAGAGAGGGGAAGAGACTAGGAGCAGATGGGGAGGGGAAACTGTAAAGAGGTGGGTATGGAGGAGGGGGAACTGTAAAGAGGTGGGTATGGGGGGCAATGATTGACCCTTCATGATTAAAGGCAACACTTACAAGAGCACAGGTGAACTGTTGAAAGTCACAGGTTTTACTTTTTAAAATATAGCTTACCAAGTTTGCCAGCTGACGAGGAGCCATTTTTCTGCCTACTGGCCTCTTTTCAGTGGATTAGGAATGGAGAAACAATTCTTTCTATAAGAGTTTGGACCAGCATGGAGCCTATTCTCAGGCTATGTAAGTAACTCATGGTATTTTTATACATTTACTCACAAATAACAGATAATATTCTTAGAGCAGATATCCTAGTTCCCAGCAGCCTAAGATAGACACATTGTAGAATGGTTGAAGTCTACTGTTTAGTGAGACTAGGAGTGCTGTCTTTTATAGATAATGGTCAGGATCCTAGCCCCGCCCCCAAGAGCTAACATGGCCCCAAACATAAAGCACTCTACCCATAAAACAAAAGCATAGGAGCTATGTTCTTTTTAAATCACAATATTCCAGAACACAAACTCTCCTTCTGGAGTATCTATGGAGATGCCAGCTTCCATGGTCTAATTCATTACTTAAGAGGGCAGTGTGACCAGCTCCATCTTATTCCCCACTAAGTATAACTTACCTGTTCAGACCGTCTGCTGTGACAGAGGAGAGAGACAAGTGTGAGGGCAATGGGGAGCAGAGCATAGAAAACACAGCTGAGAAGGGGAGTCCCTTGGGGGCAGGGTTCTTATCTGCTTCCCTTTCTCCCTGAGGATGAATAAATGTCACCAATCAGAAGCATCCATGAGAAACAGAAGAACTATTTCTACAGCTTCTACATGTCAGATTTTGACTAGCCACTGTTCGCATCATCCTTTCCCAAATCTCCCTTCTATGGCTCTTCGGAAGAGACCAGAAGGCTCCAACTTTGGCTCTGCATCCACATTAGGCTTTATCAGCTCAGGATTTATTTCAGAACTCACTGTCAATGCTGCCTCTAACTGGGTAACATCCATATTTCCATCCTGGCCCTGCCTTAGTCCCCAGGCAGCCTTTTTCCTCTTCCCTGAGATGTTCCAGCTGTTACTGCAGTTATCTTTGTCCTCATGAAGTGCCAAGCTACAGAATGAGAGTACCTATGTGTACTCCTGACAGGGACATCAAGAGACTATTTTGTAACTTAATGTTCCTAAAGTCAAGTGAAAGAGGCTGTAAACTTCTACACCAAGCATCCTCTGAATGCTGTGGGTTGACAACTAGATTTTACTCGGGAGAAATGAAAGCACCAAGGGACTGACTTTAAAGATAGCAAAGTGGGCCCTAGTTATCAGATTATAATGTAGACAACAGTCCTGTCTTGGAAGGGACCCCCTCCTCTTCAGTTACTAACCCAGGGAAGGGACCTAGTAGAAGGTTCTTAGAAGTGCTAAAGTAGCAACATTCATATGCAAAGACAGGAGGACGAAGGAAGGAAGGAAGTGGGTAAGGTGAAAAGAAAAGGGGAAGGCAATCGACCTTTGTCAATTAGGACATTTCCCACCCAGGCTGTCAGTGTTTGCCTGGAGGTGGAAAGGGTGGGGTGAGAGGAATTTGAGCGGGCTGCCGGCTGCTGGGCTGTGTATCTTACTGTGAAAGGCAAGGAGCATATGGCGAAGGTGATGGTCATAATGGCCAGGAGAATGAGGTGGTCCGTCTCCTCTGCCATCGAAGTCCTTTCCCCTCTCCTGCGAGATCCAGGGCCTCTTAGGCTACTGCCTGACAATCCGCTTCTTCTGCTCCGACGGTGCATGCGAATGAGATTGAGGATGACGCTGATGTTGCAGGCGAGTACAGCCACGATGAGCAGCAGGAGCATCGTGGCATACAGCTGAAGGTATGCAGTCCTCCCGTGCTGGATAAAGCACCACGTCCCAGGACAGTACTGGACATACTCCCCGTAGTTGAGCAGCGGCAGGGAACAGAAGAGCAAGGAGACTCCATAGATGGCAGGCAGCACCGCCAGACCCCCGCGGCGCGAGAAGTGGCGCCTGTAGAAGTAAGGATGCCCAATGGAGAGGTAGCGTTCCAGGGCCATGGCGAAGAGCATGAGCATCGTGGCCAGACTAAAGAAGGTCATAGTGAAAGCGAAATAGGTACACGCGCGGCTTTCGGGAGCCAGGGCCACAAGGGTCTGGTTTCTCGAATACGAAGCCAGCACCACCGGGCTGATGAGGCAGGTCCCCAGCAGGTCGGTGAACACCAGTTCTGTTACCAGCACGTGGAACAAAGAGATAGAGGTCTTGCTGCCGGCGCTACACCCGGTGTCCCCACGCCAGCGGCGCGCCAACAGGGCCAGTGCGATGAGGTTCCCCAGAACCCCGGCTGAGAACATCACCGAGCTGATGGCTGGGCTTTCCCCTGAACAGAGCCACTGACGACTCTTGCAGTCCTCCACGTGCCTGGAGTTATTGGGAGAATTGTCCATGGTGGAGGGCGTGGAGGAGAGACGATCTCTCCTCCAGGCAGGTACCAGACAGTAGCAGGGTCTGATGGCCCCAGTGTTCCAAGACAGAGCAGGGAAAAGGGGAGGGACCGAAATCCGGAGCTCCCTTCCGGCCCCCAACTCGCACCAAGGGCAGACTTACTTGGGTCTCCTGCCTGTGCGCACAGTGCACAGTGACCTCTTTACTACAATATCCGGTAGCTCTCAATGCTCCTGTGCCTCACCTGCCCTAGCCAGGGCTGGTAGCTAGAGTATAGAGGAGGAGCTGCTCCCTCCAGCGCCTTCCGGGGGGCAAGTCCCGTACTGGCATCCAGGCAAGCAATTTAGATTGCTTGCGAGTTGTTGCGGAGGGGCCAGGCGGGGCAGAGATACGCTGGCTGGGCTCTAGAAGAGACAGGGGCGGTCCCAGCACTCGCCCAGAGTTGGCTCACAAAGTCTTCCTTTCCCGCGGGGTACATGGGTTGGAAGTTAAAGTGCCTCTGACTTCAGCTCTGAAGCCTTTAGCCCTAGCAGAAGGCTGGGAACCAGCGCAGAGTAAACGAGACTGGGGTAACAGGAACTCACTAAACTGAGGTTAAGAGAGTCCAGCCCTGTGAGATGTGGAGGAAAGAGGCACAAAGACATCAAGACAACTTGAAGTAAGAATATGAGAGATTGTTGTTTTCCTTAAAAAAAAAAAATCCAGAAAGATACCCAACAAAAGTGAGAGAAGAACTGAAAAGCAAGCCATCTAAGGAATAGAACCATGCACACCACAGAGTGGCCTTTGTCTTCCTATAACAAATAACGACTTAAGCAATCATAAGAAAACAAAACAGGAACCGTTTTTGTACTCCTCTAGAGTCAAGTCTGTGGCCCCAGATGGAAAACAGCCGCACTTAAGTGTTCTCTACTGAAGCTGGATCTTGAGGAAACTGTTAATAGGTTGTTCACATTCTTCTCTTCACAGTCAGGTAACCATGAGGGCCCATTGGAAGGATTTATTCTTGGAGTGTGTTGGCAATTGGCCAGTTTCACAATGGTGCTGACACAAATAGGTGTTTATCATCGGTTGTCATAGTTACAGAGGAGTAAAATTGTAGCAGTGTTTCTAACGTTTCTAAGTCCAGCCTGACAGACAATGCAGGCAATGATTTACTACTAGAAAAAAAAAAGCATATTTCATGCAGGAAAATAATGTGTTTTGAGAAAGAAAGGTTTGCGCAGAAGTCTGGTCAAAAGAAAAAGCGATGGAAAGATTATTTATGGAAGACACCTTGCTTCTCGTGATTTAGCTCACCGTGCTTCTGGCCTGGGGACTGGAGTGCAGAGGGTTCTCTAGCAAAATCAGGCAAGCAAAATTAATTCGTTCGGGAGGCCTACAGGCTCACTTCCCACAGCAGAAGCTACTCCCTCCATTGCTGAGCTCTGTAGGGCATGGATGGAATGGGTGTCAAACTCCCCTAGTCTTCTTTCAGGCTGTAACTGCAGGCCAGTAGCATCCTCAATCCAGCCACCCAAAGTGGACTCTCCCATGTCCATCTTGTGCCATGTCATCCTGAGAGGCTGGGGGAGGAGAAGAGCAGGCAGGACTCTGACACTCTTTCCTACTGTGTCTATTTTCCAAATGCTTTTATATCCTTTCTGTTTCCATGACCCCTTTATAACAAAAGCCCCCTGTTGCACTATTTCTATGTAATTGTCTCTAGCTCCTCACTACATGAGTACATGGTGACCAGGCTCTGCTGACTTTAAGGCATACCAGAGAAAATTCGAGATCCTCATCCCAACCCCCTCTGCCTTTATCTTGCTAGTCTCTACCCCAACTCAGCAGTACACTGTGAGAGGATTCTCACAGAGATGTATGGACAATCTAGTTTCTGATGACCAAGCTCTGTCTACATCCCTTCCTCAATGACAACCCCTCGACCCTTGGGTATGCACTCCCTGCATGTAAGACAGCCTTGGGAATCCTGGGGGAAGAAGCCAGTATGAAGCCCCAGACATGTGTTTAGGACAAACATTTAATCAAGAAATTCTCTGATCTCAGGTGCAAGGAAGTTTGTCTACAGCATAGATGGCTTTGAGTCTGAGTAATCCCTACTTAAGGGTGGATTTGCCACAAGAGAAAGACCAGAGTTGAGTCTTACAATTCTTAGGAGCTCATATCTTACCAATTACTCTTCTGGACTGTATGCTTTCAGATGTTACATATTCAAGTTACCATTTTCGTTTCTTTGTTTCCAGTAGTTGGACAGAGAGGGGTAGCATTTTTACTGTATTCTCTGTTTCAAAAGTCTGACTGGATGGTTAATTTGCTACCCCTACTTCCTCAGTTAAACCATCAGGTTGGTTCAGTAAATTGAATCCTCATCTTGTAGTTTGAAAGCGATTTCTTCCCATTTCTAATTGTAGCGTCAGCATTCTCAGTACAAGACCAGTTTATCCAGAGTCTAGGATTTCTCAACAGAAAACATATTAACGCCCTCAGTTCTAGAATTGAGACATAAAGCTTTGCTAATTTTCAGTTCCTGTTTGTGAAGCCATTGTGTTTGGGGAACACCATGTGATTAGTAATTGTGTATCAACTTGGTCAGGCATGGGATGCCCAGGAGCTGACTAAACAGTATGTCTGACTATATCTGAGAGGGTATTCTAAAGAGCTTAGCCTCCACATCTGACCGACTAAAGCACGAAACTGCTCCAGTGTGGGTGGGCCCCATCTGATCAGTTGCTGGCTGAATAGAACTAGGAATATAGGTTAAGGTTGATTACCAGGCTTGATTGGGGGCATTGATCTGCCATTGACATGCCTGATTCTCTGGCTTTCAGGCTGACTAAAATCTTAACTGTTAGCTCTTCAGTTTTGAGACTTCTTCCAAACATAACATTAGCTTTACAAGTAGACACATATAGAGAGCCACATGTAAATCAAGGGCTGGAATACATACTGAGAAAGCTGTTGCTAGGCAGTTTTGTCATTTGAGTGTGAAGTACACTATTGACAAAACCATTATGTATTATATGACTGTGTATATAGAACACACATAGAGAGAAAGAAACAATTGGTCCTATTTCTTTGAAGATCTCTGACTAATATATATTACTTGAAATCTAAAATTCATACTTTTCCTTTATGGATCTGTAACTCAGGGGCTTTGGAAGGCAAGCTACTTACCGTAGGTCATTCTTCAAAGGAAGGCAAAGATAAACGCAACAGAATGGAGAACTAACTACATGGAAGAAGCTAACATGGGGTCTTGCATGGTTCTATTTGCAGGAGTTGTGTCTTCAAAACACTCAGTCTTTACTTCTTGATATCTATGCATCTAAATAATTTTTTCAAAAGAGAGTTCTAAGAACACCATCTGTGCCCTGTAGTAAACTAGATAGGGAATCACATCATTCACTGTAACAAACAGAAGTCACTGAAAACTGGAGATTAGATTTAAAGGATGATTTTGGTGACAGTCTACAGAATTCAGAGTCCTGTGAAGTTTCTAGATTGCCTGCTGGGATGCTTGCTATCCTCCATCCCTGTCAGTCCCACCTTTGGCTTTGTGTAGCAAGGCTCTTCTCCTTGAAGGTGTCAGTTGCTTTCTATGCTAGCTCTGGTTCAGCCAGAGAAACAGGTCCACTGTTAGTGACAAATAATGCAGATTTTATTATTATAAGCCTTGAATTACCCAGTTGCTAACCAGTAGCCACATGACAGTTTAGATCTGAGTTTTTTAAAGGAAAAAAATACAGTTTCTCTAGGAACATTTAGTCAGTTTAGGTACATTTCCAGCCATTAGTGACTCCCCTATGAAGAAGCTCATATGTGAAATATTATTTTCATTGCAGAATTTAGTGTCCTTTAGGTTGTATATCAGTGGTTCTCAACTTCCTAACCCTGTGACCCTTTAATTTAATTCCTCATGGAGTGGTGACCCCTAACCATAAAATCATTTCATTGCTACTTCATAACTATAATGTTGCTACTGTTATCAATTATAATGTAAATATTGGATATGTAGAATATCTGATATGCAACCCCTAAAGGGGCCATAACCCACAGGTTGAAAACCACTGTCTATATGATGTCTATATGATATCAGTGAGTGCTCTGGTCTGCCTTAGTCAGCTGGCTTTCTCATTAGAAAAACAAAAGGCTTCCCAGGAACACTGAGGCAGGCAAAGAAGGTAGAAATAGCTTTTGAATTAGTCAAAAGCATTAAAAAAAATCTATTGTGCGAGTTCTGACTTGAAGTTCATGGTACATGCACTTTCTAGTTTAAAAACTGCTATTTGAGTAGCAAATTTAACCTCCCAACTTCCTAAAAAATGTATCTTAAGAAAAGCAAATAGGTCCAAATGATGAATGTTCTACTGTACAGAAAACTGTTAACTAGGAAGGTAGAAAGCAAGACAGAATCAGAAAAACCCACATTCTGTAATCCTATTAAAATTAGCAATTTAGTTACTATGTTGAATTACAATTAAAATGTTTAAGTACTTGGTTGTTGGTACCTAGAAAGTCACATAAGACCAGAAGTAACACTACAGAGATTGCTTTCTTGTGTCTGATGGTGAAAGAAGGGCTAAGGGTTCAGTGAAAGCTCAAACTGGACCAACAAGCTCATCAGGTCAAGGAGCTCAACACCAAGCCTCAGGACTTGAGGATGATCCCCGGAATCACATGTCCAAAGAAGAGAACTGACTCCCAAAAGTTGTTCTCTGACAACTCTAGATACTAGGACGAATAGTCACACTTACCAATCCCCTGACAGTGAGTTCAGAGAGTTCTAGGAGTATCTGAAAAGATCTTTCCAGTATAGAACCAATACCTCTGAAACTTTCTCATGCTCTTCCCATCCCAGATTTAGTCACCATGATGGTTGCTTGGGCCCTTGAAAACAGAAGAAGATGTAAAAAGTTCTCAATAAGCTGGAGCTTTTTGTTTTGCTTCTGGTTCTAAGTAGTTTGATGCAAAACTGGGTTATGCGAAAGATTTTGCAGCTGAATTTGGGATCTTAGAATCAAATCCAAAAAATGGGTGAGTCAGATGGAACTTGAAGACTGGTCCAAAGCTACATCCCATTTCCCTTTGCAACTGCAAGAGGAGGAGACACCGATTTCTGAGTTGTGCTGTTTTGTGTTGAGCTAGGCTCTGTAATGAGAAAGCACAGTTCCTCATATTGTAGCCTCAAACTCCAGGCTCTCCTGTCTCAGTACCGCAGGTATCAGGAGGGCAGGTGTGTGCTGCCACAGTGCTAACAGGAACTCGAAGATTTCTGTGTACTGTCATCTTCTTCATGGGCTGAGGCTGAGCCTAGGAGTCTCCATGTCAGTAGCATCTTCCAAGGATGTTCCTCTGCAGCTCTGAAATCTTGACTCCCCGGGGAGATGCCTGGGGAGGTTCACTTTCAGTATACTAAAGCACTTGGGCTCCCTCTAAAGGAACAACTTTAAAACCTCATTTGGAAATAACCAGAAAAATCTGTTTTTTACCTAGCTATAAAAATCTATAGCTCAGAAGTTCCACTTGAACATTTCTATTCAGAAGTATCCTTTGCTTTCTGTCTTAAAGATGCTTTGATAATTTAGAGGGCCAACATTACTTTGAAATAATTTGACTTTGGGTTGTTAAACATTTTTCAGAGTTTATGGATTTTATTTCCTCTCTTTGAGAGTCTTTGGAACCTGGTTCCTATTTTATTCTTCAGGGCCCACAAGCTCAGGGTTTAGAGCTATACCAAAGGTGAGGATTCTAATCAGAAATCTCATCCCATAAACTCAGGCCTCAGAGGAAAGGCTAAGGATGAGTTAGAAGTAAGGCTAACCTATTTGTGCAGAGCCACACTGTGACGCACAGCCCCGCCCGCGGGCAGCAGGGTGAGTCTGCAGCCATAGGTGCTGTGGATCTCACTCTGAGCTCCTGTTTCAGGTCCTCAAACTCCTGAGAGCACTGGTTGCTAATGGTCTGGATTTGGTTCCTTAACACTTGGTTAAGTTGTGGCTTATCTACTAGGATGGTTGTAGCAGCAACTGCCCACAATCAGGCCAAGCAGGATCAAGTCTTTTGGACAGATAGGTCACTAGCCTCTTCCAAGGTCCCAGTGTCTGGGAAAGAAACCCTTTGTAGTCACTTATATACAGAGGTCATCCTTGTATGCTTATAAAGAATTCTTTCTTGGTGTCTCTGGCTTTTTTTCTGGAACCTCTTTTATCTTTGTTTTGATTTGGATTTTCTATAGAGTCATGGTTGTTGTAAACTTTTTGAGCAATTTCTAATAATTCATATCTATTCATATTGCCAAATCCTTCTAACTTTTAAGGCTTCTTTTCTAATATCTTAGGTTCAAATGCATGATAAAACCAATGTTTTTTAGCAGCTGCTTCAATCCTAAAATGGCTTTGGAAAAATTGACTAGGTTTCCTTACCTTGTTCAGTTTTGGGGTACAGCACACTGATTGATGAAGTGGAACTACTTCTCTCTTCCCTGGGTGCAACTGGTTGCTTATCTAATTAGGTGGTGGAGGGAGGGAAGGGAGAGCACAAGCTTGGACAAGCAACCAAGTAGTCAGAGTCCTGATCAGTGCTCCTGGAGCAGGAGGAGGGGAGGTAAACTACTTCCTCCAGAACTGAGAGAACTGGCAGAGGTTTGGAGTTTCTCTGTGTGACCTGGCCAAGGCCAAGAGGTGGGTTTCACAACAGAGAAAGCCACTAATCAACATGGGAAACTATTTGGGGTTCTGGGGTTCCCCAGTCATGTTCTAGACAGCCTGCACTGTCACAGGGTTATCTGACTCCAAAAAGTGGCCAATAGGTTTTACAAAAGATCCAGAGTTTTCTGTTTAAGAAACAGGTATCATATTCATCCTCCTCCATAAAACTCCCTCTGGGCCTGTAGCCACCAACCACAACACTACTAAGGAGACCCTACTGCTAGCATCACCATAGCAACAGCAGCAACAGCTTGCAGCCACAGCTGCTGCCAGAAGAGATGTGCAGTAAGGATGGCCCAGCATGACCCATGAGCCTCTTGTGGGAAGTTGTATGTCATTCTAGGGGCAGCAGTAGCTGTGGTCCCAGGAGGGCTCACTTTCCATTTTAAATCATTTCTCCAATCAGTAGAATTGACAGAAACACACAGAGAGATACATAGTAAAGACAACCAGGGGTCGCCACCATGCATTCATACACCTCAAGAGTCCAGGGGAGTTTGACGAAGTCTCACTTGGACCCCACCCAGACATAGCTCGTCACTGTAGGCATCTCCATTGTGTCCCTTTGTATCCTAAACCAGACTTACCTCTAGCAGTGACAAACCAGGCAACTTTCAATTTTGTTCCCTTTTTGGAGTGGAGGTGTCATATTCCTCTAAAGCATTGGGAAGCAATCCATCAGATGATATCCTGAAACCCTGGAACATCTCAGGTTGTGAAACTCTAGGAGCTCTTGACCATCACATTTTTTCTGGCTCTGGAAGGCTTCAAGACCTCCAGTATTTCAAGGTATAGACTCTGGAGATCTCACTGGGGCCTCCAGAAATGTGAGGTATATATGCCAGAGAAGACCATGTGGACACTGGTTCTGAGTGAGCAGATTTTTGGGGTTCAAACTCCATCTTAGAAAACCTGACCTAAGTTTGAATTCAAGTAAACTTACAGGTTGGTACCTAGCAGCAGTTTCCAAGTAACCCCTGCAACAAGACCTGTGTTTCCAGGTTACCCCTTACCCCAACAAATCCAGCTTCTAACTCCAGTTTCCAGGTTACCCCCTACAAGACCTGTGTCTCCAGGTTACCTCCCCAAACAAGATCTGCATCTAGCACCAGTCTCCAGGTTATTCCCCCAACAGATCTGTACCCCAGGCTACAAGCCCTCCTCTGCCTAAAAACCACCAATCAGGAGAAAAGCAGAAGTTAAGTTTATGTGGTTTGGCTCCCAGCACCAGCCAATTATGTTAAAGGCCATATTAGCCCCCAATTAGATGCTTGCCAGGCTAGAAACACTCATTCCTCGTTTTTCATTTTCTATAAAATCTTGTCCTGATGAGTGTTTGGAGCTTTTTATCCACCTGAACCATCCTGCAGGTCCGTGGTGAGTTAAGCCTGAGCTCAAGCTTGTGAATAAAGACCCCTGGGTGATTGCATTGGATTGGCTCCTGATTGGTCCTGTGGGGTTCACAAATGCTTCCTGGTGCTATAGTTCAAGACAACAAAAAGTCTTTATGAGCAAGACAGTGACTATACTGGGTGTTTGGGATCTCAGTTCAGTACCAAGACATTCTCAGGGTAGACTTTTAAGCACAAAAATCATAACCTTGACATATCTCAGTTAGCAAAAATAGCCAGAAGCAGAACTGTAGAAGCCAAAAGCAAGGTTAATATGTTTAGGGACTTTCCCACAACCAGGGACTTTGATGGATTATGTCTTTGTTCTCATTTTGACAGATGTTGCTGCCTACTTACTATACTTATTTGGTTTCAACGCCTGAATGGTTCTTCCATCATAGCATCAGTTGTGAGAAGGTCTGGATGTTTGTTACACTGTTACTAACTGATGTGGGCAAGCTACTGGCGAATGGCAGGGAAAGAAGGCCCCCAAAACCCAACCTCAATTAGCTGTGAACTTAGCTTTGCTCCTCCACCTGGAGGCTGTTCTGGGAAGAGAAAGCCATCCACTCCAGACAGTCCAGTGAAAGAAGGTGATTGGTCTCATCCAGAGACTAGACTCGGTAGAGCTAAAATGTGCATTTCTGTTCATTTCCAGGTAATGAAGCTACTGTTGCTTGTCCAGGCCACACTTTCAGAAGTGTTGTTCTAGCCTTCCTGTCTGGTAAGTGTGGGGGTTGCTCAGGTTTTAGTGTTTATGGAATTTCTACTTTCCTGGAGATCTAGGAATACGTGGCAAGTAGGCTTGAGACTCCATGAATAACTTGCCCTCATAGTTTACATGGTGGTTAGTGTTTGTTGATTGTCAACTTGACAGCACCCAGAATCGCCCTGGAGACACACCTCTAGACACATGTGGAAGATTATTGGATTATTAGCTCTATTATATAAGGTATTACTAGATTAGGTTAGCCTCTGGGCATGCCTGGGAGGGACTATTTTGATTTGACCAATTGAAGTGTGACGACACACCCACTATGGTTGACTGAGATAGTGGACTGGGTAAGAGGAGCTAAGTGACCTGAGAACCAGCATCTTCCTCTGCTTCCTGTCAATACAACAGCTCTCAGTCTCCTGCTGTCTTGACTTCCCATGATGGTCTTCCAACTATAAGACAAAATAAACTTCTCTCCCTTAAATGCTGCTTTTGTAAACTTATTTAATCACAGCAACAGAGAAGTAACAAAGACAAGTAGCTTTTACTTAACCTCCTTCTAATCCACGGGAATCTCAGCCAGAAGCCATACCGTATTGTCCAGGAAGACTGGGAATGTAGAGGGAAAAGACAAACACTCTTTTTATAGTGCTTTTCCTTTCCCTAAGAGTTTATTGGAACACAGAAACTCAGAGACAGAAAGTGATCAACTGCAGTGGAACTGAAAAAACACAGACTCCTGTCACCTGGTGGATCCCATGAGTTACACAGTGGATCCCATGAGTGACACAGTGGATCCCATGAGTGACACAGTGGATCCCATGAGTGACACAGTGGATCCCATGAGTTACACAGTGGATCCCATGAGTGACAGTGGGATCCCTTAAGTCACACGATGAACCCCAAGAGTCACAGGTAGATCCCACGAGTCACAGTGGGATCCCATGAGCTCTGTTTCCTAAGCCGTTGAACACTTATTTCCTCTTTCCCTGCCACCTGAATCCAGTTCCATCTTGCCTGCATCTTCCTGACATGTGTGATAGTAGTAGCACTTTGATTTCCCATGATTCTCTGCTTTTCCCTTTGTTTGGTGCTTGTTCAAAAAACATCATGCTGTGATATATTTACTCCTGAGTCTATCCTATAGCCACATAGTGAGTTTTAACCATTAAAACTTAAATGACTTAAATTCTGCTGTGCCTAACATTAGTTTTTGTTCACATTTAAAGGAACTTAGTTTTTGTTCACCTTTGACTCATTTTTATCTTTGAGGGGAGTCTTGCAACTAGACTTCTCTGGGCCTGCACATACAGAGTGTCCTTTTTTCAAGTACACAAATCATAAAATACTCCTTTCTCTGATTTGGTGGGTTCAATAGCAGGAACATCCAGGGTCAGGTTCTTTACATCCTTAAGTTGTCCAGAGCAAAGACTTAGCATTGTATGAGGTGTGGCACACACCATTCTCATGCTCTCTGGTGCCCCTGCCTGCCTCATTCACAGTTCACATTACAGTGTGATCCTCCAACTCCATCCATCAGGCTGCCCTCATTTCAAAGCCTCCAGTTACCAGTAGGCAGGGCCTCCCAGAACTCTAGCTCCTATTGCTGACCCATCCTTTACTTCACGGTGTGAAAACTGCCACTCTTCCAGCTCCATCTCTATGAGGTTAAGCCTGCCAACCTCCTTCATGCCTGCCTGCCTCTGCACGTGCTGATCCTTCAGACCCAAAGCTTACCCTAGGTGTCTTTTCCTCTTATTTTCTCAGTTCAGTTCTAGACACCTTTTCAAATATACTTTCATGTAAAAGAAATACTTATCATCTTAAATCTTGGAAAACATGAAGAACTATGGGAAAATGCCCATGGACAAGAGCAGCTGCGATTCATGCTTTCTTTGGTTTATTTTTTCAAGTTATTTTTCTGTGTGTACATATTTATTAGTCACATCTTAAAGTAGTTTGCATTCTCTTTTTATCACTTGAAGTTTTGCTTCTTTAGTCCTTATCGTGTGTGTGTGTGTGTGTGTGTGCGTGTGTGTGTGTGTGTGTAATTCCAATACTGGTACCATAGATCATTTTAGGCTCTTAGTGTATCCATAGTAAGGCTGCTATCAAGAAAGGGTGTAGAAACTGACAAACTTCCCAGAGCATCATGAGTATTTACATCTCAGCAACCTCTCTCATTGTTTAAGCCACAGTGTTTTGCTTGGCCCTTTATCATTTCATTCACACTTTGCATTTTCTTTGATTAGGCTGCATGGTTTCTACATTTCTTAATGATATGTGTCCCTTCTTCTGTGGACTGTCTTTGAATGTCCTTTCAGTTTTCAGTCGATCCGTGTACCCACTTTCAGTGTGTTAAGGAAACACCTGCTCCCCGGGAAGTCTTCAGACAGGCTTGCATGTAGCTCTGCTGGGGACATCTTAGCACTGCAGGAGCACAGTACTACTGAGAATCTCCATTTGCATTACCACCGTTCAGTCTTGTCTCCCTCCAGTGGACAAAGAGCAACTCACACCTAGCCAATTGCTATGCATTAGGTCTGAGCCAGTGATTGAATATGTTATGATCACTCAGTGAGGATCCCTGCACAGTGGACTGTAACTGGCCAAGGCAAACATCAGAGCGGTTTATCAGCATTTCAAGTAAAACAAACAGGAGCACTAAGCTCTTAGATAAGCTTAGGAAACTTTGTTTAAGGTAAAATAAGCGCTATTCCGGAAAATCCACACTTGCATGGCTAGAGACTGAAATATTGCTGGCAATTATTTGCTCATAGAAAAAAGTACAATGGTTGTTTTTATCTACAAAAAAGCCTTCCTCTGCAAAATATTATAAAATTGCATTTATTGGTTCGTTTGACACTTTATCAAATTATCTAGACAACATACCTTTTAAAAGTAGGACACAAAAAAGATGCACCTCCTCTGACCAAGTGAAAAACATACATTATTCACATTAAACATAGACACACAAGTTAAACAAAAAACAAAAACATTTTTTCATTGAGTCATACTCACAATTTATATTTCCTATATTCCTAATTTGGCTTTTTTCACAGTTTTGTTTTGTGCACATGCGTACACACACACAAACACATACACACACATTATATTTTTTGCTTATGCTATATGATATATAATGTATGATGTGTGGTATACATACATACATGCATACATGCATACATACATACATACACACATACTAAGTTAATACCATGTGTGAGGTCTCAGACAAACAAAAGTTGAGAAAAATGGGCTTTCTGCTGAACTGGCAGGAGGGGAGCTCCTGAGTCCCTGAGCATCCTGACACTCAGATGCTGAAGTAGTCTCAAGGTCTGCAGCAGGCAGTTGCTTCCAAAGACATGAGGTGTCCAGATGAAAGTCTTGGCCATGTCATGTAAATTGGTCTTTTACTAAGGTAGATTCTATATAAGGTGGGAGTAGGAGTACTCAAAGATAGATGCCTAATTAACCTGTGTCCAAACTCCTTCAATGCCTTGATGTCACCTGGGTCCCTGCAGTTTTTTCAGAGCTCTGTGAAGTGCCTCAAATCATGACTCTCCCTGCTGCCCTACAGGTCACATTGCTACCTAGATTGGCACAACCTCAGACCATCATTCTGAGGCTGGATACTTTTTCTTATGGCATTAGACTTCTCATGCCTACTAGATTCTAAATCCACAATGAAACAAATTGACCTGAATGGAAACGTCAGAAATCCAATATTAGTAGGGGTAATTGTGGTTAAGAGCACTGAAGGTCACCCAGGAACATTTCTCAGAAAAGACACACGTTCTTAGAACTAATCTCCTTAGCCTTTGGCTCCATTCTCTACAACATGTCAGTGATCTTGGCTATTTCAATTCAGAGCCTGAGGAACTTGCTTTACATTAGACTCATCTGTTGCTGCTATATAGACACTGTCTCTCTTCATTCCTGGTTCATAATGCCAATAGTAATAATAATGACTAGTGACTACTTAGACCCTTCACTTCCCTGGCATTGTTCTATATCTTTTTAGGTTTTCATGTTCTCCTTACAAAAGTCTTGTGAGTAAAGACAGTCATTGTCTCCCTTTTACAAACCTGGAAATGGGTTAAACAGCCAAACAGCACTGTCCTACAAGTCGACTTCAAATCTTCCCCTTCTAGGAGCCTCTTTGAGATGGTGGCTAAAGGTCTAAGCATCCAGGTTAGAGTCCTTTCTTCAGATACATGGTTTTCAGGGAAGATGTAGTTTCCTAGTTTTACAGGAAGGCCACTGTGCCTGGTTTCCAGGATTCTCAGGAAGTCAGAATGAGATGGTGTAAAGAAAGCTTCAAGAACAGGTTCTGGTATATTATAAACACTTGATCATTAACTTGTGTATCCTTTTCTCAACCAGGAGGTGCCCCTTTAATCTGCTGAGCTCTCTGTCAGCATTGACCATTCTTCTCCCTTATATCCTGTGCAGATGCTGAGGATGTTTCCTCAGTGTGTGTCTCACTCAGCTACAGAGTGTGCTGGATGAGGTAGGTAGGATGAGGTCCGATATCTACTGAATGGATATGGCTCGGACCACACCCTTATACTGATTTTAGAACCAAACATTTCAAAGATGTGGTATATATTTGTTAGTTTTCTCCTCAGAGAGGAGTGTGGTGAAATATAATTCCAACCAAAATTTCAATCATGCAAGAATGCTTGATAAAGGAACAGATCTTATATAATTAAATAAAAACATTTTATTTTTTTACATTAAAATATATTTATTCACTTTATGTGTTTAGGGTTAGGATCATCATAGCATACACATGGAAGTCATAGGTTAATTTATGGGAGTGATTCTTTCCTTTCATCATGTGCGTTCTAGGAATAGAACTCAGACATCAGGCTTGGCAGCAAGGACCTTTACCTGTTGATCCATATTGCAACACCAAACTATTTACTTTCTGTAGGCTAATAATTTTTAAAAACCTACTTTAATAAGGGTTCTCAAATACTTTGACTTTCCTTCTAACTCATTGT